AGAATAACAAATGTTGAAGAGCAGTGAGATGCACCTTGGATAACCCTTTTATGCAAACGGTTTGAACAGTTCCAAGGTAGGGCTGTATCTTTCTTGTTAACTTTGAAATTTACCTTATAGAAGTTAAATCAAGGCCTAATAAAAAAGTAGGCCCAATGATTATTTCATTAGGCATCTGCTGGTTATAAAGATATGATCCTATCTAGAAAAATTGCCTCTGTTGCTTCTGACCCACAAAAGCTTTCTGTGGTTATATTGGAGGAGAGATTTCTCCCTACTTGGAAGCCCCATCGAAAGCCCGTGTGTCAGAGATGGCTAACCCCTCCTCCACCCTCCTCCCCCACACCCATCCTCTCTCTTCCCATAGGAATTATATCAGTCATTGCAGGGAAGAATTGTAAAAGAATCTGAAAACACCTAGGAAGTCCTTGGCCAACACCTTCTCTCTGCCACAAGTGAAGGAGAAGAGGAGCACCACTGCCACCTCCCCTCCCCCAGGCTATAACAAGCATGAATCATGAGACTACAAAATAATCTTATCATTTTAGATGCAAAGATTATGTTGTTTTCCTCTCTGAACTCTCCCTGCCCAGCTCCTCTGTGCTGGCTCTACTGTGCCTGTGACAGTAGAGCCAGCACTCCCAGATTCAGAAGCTACCATGATTCCAGCTTCTGCTGCAGGGACCCTTGCTGGATGCCTGATGGTGAAGGAGGTTTTCTACCCAAGCCCCAAAATTCTAATGAATTAATGTTCCCCACCTCTCATTGGCCAGTCCCTAAGTCAGAGGTTAATTCCATTCCTGCACTTGATAGTACATCTCTGCTTCTCTGGCAGAACTGGGAGGCCTACATCCCCACCATCACTTCCCCAGTCATGGAGGCAGTGAGAAGAGAACAGCCTGACCCATTGTTTGCAGGAAAGGAGGGAAAGTGGTTCGTGAAGTGCTGGGCTCTTTCTGCTCAGTGAAAATAGTGCTGCTGCTCTCTCACCTTTCCCCAATCTGACACCTCCTGAGGTGGGATGACAGCTCTGCTTGATTCCTGTAGCAGCCCTGACTGGCTGCCTTCACCAGCCAAACTCTCCTGTCAGACGTAATCCTGCCTCTTGGATTGCTCTTGAATTCCTGACCCCATGTTCTGACTCCGGCTCTGAAACCTGACTCCAGGTATGACTCTTGATTCTAACTCCTGGTTCTGGATTTTGGTTTGGTTTCTGACTTTGGACTGCCACCATCCTTATCACCATGTCTGACATCCCAAGCTCCAGTAATGACAGTTTGCATAGATCTACACCTAACCTCCTCCACAGAACTAGCCCCAGTGGAGGGAATGAAACAGCAGGCTTACTACTATCCAGGGTACCCAAAGGGCAACAGAACTGCATGAGGTTGGCTAACTCTAGTCTGAAAACCATGCACTGCAGGCTCAGGTGGTGAACTCCCAGCCATGAGTCAGGACCTTCAGAAACAAGTGGCCTGCTCACATGAAGAAAAAACTTCACTCCAAGCAAGGGTAGTGACTCCATCTTGTGATGGATGGGACATCCCAGCCTTTCAGTTAACTAAATTACCTGTAAAGGTCCTAGAGAATCTCTAGAAAGTGTTGGTAGGAAGCCAGAAGAGCCAATGAAAAGAGAGTGGGAGGCGGGGTTTGAATTGAAAAGCAAGACTTTCCTGCAGTCTTTGTGTGATCAGAGCCAAGCTGAAAGATATGAGTTAAGTCAGGAGCAGGGCATGGAATTTCCAGTGATATCCATACCTAAGGGAGGACTAAACCTTGGAACAGCAGATATGAGAGTAGAACAGGGAGGGCTCGTCTACACTGGCCCCTTTTCCGAAAGGGGCATGCTAATTTCACAGGTCGTAATAGGGAAATCTGCGGGAGATTTAAATATCCCCCGCGGCATTTAAATAAAAATGTCCGCCGCTTTTTTCCGGCTTGTAGAAAAGCCGGAAAAGAGCATCTACACTGGCCCCGATCCTCCGGAAAAAAGCCCTTACTTTGAAGTAGGAATAAGAGATCCTCCGGAAAAGGGCTTTTTTCCGGAGGATCGGGGCCAGTGTAGACGCTCTTTTCCGGCTTTTCTACAAGCCGGAAAAAAGCGGCGGACATGTTTATTTAAATGCTGCGGGGGATATTTAAATCCCCCGCAGATTTCCCTATTATGACCTGGAAAATTAGCATGCCCCTTTCGGAAAGGGCCAGTGTAGACGTAGCCGGAATGTTTAGTGAGATGCAATCTAAGGAGGTTAAGTAACGGTTAATTTACTAGTCGAGCAGTTGATGGAATTTCCATCAACTACTCGATAGGCACTTCTGCATTCCTCCTTTGAAATGTACAAGAGCCTCTGCTGCGGATCTTGTACGTTTCAAAGGAGGAATGCAGAACTCCGCATGCAGCCCGGGCCCAGTGGGAGCTCTTATGCATTTCAAAGTGGTAGCACAGCATGGAGAGCCCCCAGCATGTACTATTGTATAGGAAATAGGAAGGCACTAGGAACCAGGGGGCAGCATCCAGCTACTTAGACAGCAACCCAGAGCACAGGTTGCTATCCCGTCCTGCTGCCTCCTCCACTCCCCATGAGAGAGAGAGAGAGAGAGAATCCCCCCATGCCTCAGCTCTATTGAGGGTGGGTGGGATAATGCTCCCCTCCCCCCAGATCTATGTCCCTCATCACAAAGAATATGTAGTCCATAAAATAGGACTCCAAGCTCAAGATTATTGACTGTCAGGGTTCTTACTATTCTCTGCGTATAGATTTTAGTATTAGTAAAATACAGTCAACTTCTCTATGATAAAAATAGTCCTATATCCCAGCTACATTTAATTCCTGTACTTTTCAGAGACTCTTCAGTTAAGAGTATCTGAGTTTGTGGCAAATGGGGCTTTAACAACTTTATGCTACTTGCCAGTTCTAGGAAAAGTCATAAAATGAAACTTGTTTGTAATTGGCCTTGGCCACTACTGAAGGTCATTTGGAAATCACTAGCTCCAGGTCATCTCTACCTGCTCTGCTTGCGCAGTAGATTGGGTAATAGCTGACTATATAGGCTTTAAGGCAAACAGACCTTGCCAGGTTGGCATTTTCTGAATTTTTATGGGCTGAGCTAAATAATCACTTCAAAAGGATAAAAATACATAAATAAAACAAATGAACAGCCAGGTTTATTGGAGAGCTGTGCAGAGAACATTCTTGGATAATAAAGCACTATTGTTGGCTATTTTTCATGCCCTTTGGCAGCTACAGGTGGAGAAACTAAAAAAAATTTACCCAATGGTATTTTTGATAATTATATTTTACCAGCATCTAGAGGGCCCAATCAGAACAGCAAAGCCACTGTGCTAGGTACCGTCCAAACATGCAGAAAGGTCCAGGTCCTCAAAGATATCAATAGGAGCTCAGCAGGGATCTGGACTTGATGACCTCTCAAGGTTCATTCCAGTTCTAACATTCTATGATGTTTTCTCCCTTGTGTACGTGGTGGGTCTGGTTGCTATAATAAACCAGGTAGAGAAAGTCAGATCTCCAAATGGCTCTTCTTACATGGGGAGTGTGTGGGGACCCAGACTGCTGCCTCTGCGCCATGCCAGTTTCCACCCCCTAGTAATTCCCAAAGCTGCGTCCTGGAGGGATGGGGTAGGGGGGTGGTGGAAAGAGGCAGACCTTTGGGAATGGTAACAGACAGCACCCCGTCCAGCCCGCTGGGAGTCTTGGGCTGCATTGCGCAATTGCTCTAGCTGGGGATAGCCTGCAGGCTGGGAGTTTGAGACCCCAGCTCGAGAGAGCAGCCATCTGCTGTGTCTCATTGTCTAAGTCACACCATTGCTCTAATTCTGGGGTCACTTTTCCAGAGTGTCTTTACCTTTACCTAAGGGCCTTGTCCTGATGGAATCCCAGAGTCCTGACCCACTCCTTCTCACTCTTCCCAGCTTCTGGTAGCATTACTTCATCTGTCCTGAAACTCCCTCAGCCAGCTACACATCATCTATGGTCCTCCAGCTCCCGCAATCAACTGGACTTACTCCTGCAGCTCTTCTTACACTGACTTGCTGGGCCATGTGGACTGTGTGCCACACAACTACCCCCTCAGTTGCCCTATTATGGGTTGTGGCAGGACCACAAGTCCTCCAGCAGAGGGTCTCAGAAAATCTGGTATACATCATCACAAGGAGGTATGGAGGAACATTTGGGGGGGCCTAAGGGGGTGATGCCAGACCTGTGCAGCAGATCACAGGAAGAATACCACTTCCATTCCTTCATTCATCTCAGCTGGCCATGGAGCCTGTGCGTAAATGCCAACATCCACTGCAGTCACACCCAGTGCTGGCTCTGCTCCCCAAGACCATTGTGTGCACCTTAACCCACTTTGAAAACCTGAGGAGAGGGGGCAAATATTGTATCTGTTTTTGTCAGAGTTGGGTTGGACACTCAAAAAATGCAACTCAAAAGGAGGGGAGCTCAGCAAAAAAAGCTTAAAAACAACTGTCCAAATAACTCCAAATATATCATTAATAAATACAAATGCATGTTGTATTTTTTCTGATCTTGAAATAAAGATTTTTACCCAGATGTTCCAAAGCTTTTACATTACAAGTTCATTGGCTACTTGGAATAAAGAAAGGATGATAATGTGAAGAAGTTATATGTCTTCAGAAATCCTGAAAAATTAGTATCCATTTATTTTATGTAACCACAGTTCCTTATGCAAAATAAACTACTTAATTTGTTTTTACCTGTGTGGAGCTTACATTTTATTAGGGATCAACATGAAGCTAATCCTTGAATCCAAATATGGCCAAACTTTGGAATGGTTCAGATCCATATGAGAACTCTTATGTGGAGCTCTATAATTTAGGTCTAGTATTTAAAAATTGTTTTTAACTTATATTTCCTTCCCACCTCACCTCAAACACACAACGTGCATCATGCAAAACACACAAACAACTACTTTGTCACAACATAATTGAGAATTACAGAATATGAAAAAGCTATCGGACATTTTTAGCTTAAAATGTTTTCTTTATTGATTAGCATAAACAATGTATTTGTGATAGTTTAAATCATGCAGACATTTGTCTTACAAAAATCTGACCTCATATATGGTTTCAAATGGCTAAAAATAACTTATAGGTGGAAATGCCTGCTTTGAAGTAAGAATTTAAAATAAAGTCTTCTGAGCAAGGGTGAACTAAGTGTAGTGAAATAAGTTTTCAAGATGTTGGGAAATAATATTCGTTTTTAAAATAAAAAGCCCATTTTCCACTTCACGGTATTTCTATCTGCGTAGCAGAGTGCAAGATTAAACACTTTAAAAAGGATGTATTTTCAAAGAATTGTGATTGTTTAATCTTGTAGGTGCCAATGAGAATAAATAAAATTGCATAACAATATGTCCATGGCACCATTATGAAAATTTAATACTTTTGGCCAAAATACCAAATAGGAAGACCTAAAGTCCACGTGCAAAAAATGCATGTAAAATGACATTTTTTGTGCATTGAAGTGATTGCATGAACAAGTCTTGTATGTGTGCACACAAATGTCGTTTGGGCATCTAAACAATTGCTTGTGTATGGCATTGAGTATCGGCATAGATCTCAATTGCTGTGGGTGTTTGAATGTGATTGTCAGTCCAATTATTTTGAAATTGTGAACCTTGATGTTTGTCCATTAGCTATTACTCGCTACCATTTCTATTAAACTAAATTCTTATCAAGATAAGAATTACAACTAAAGTATGAGTGAGAAAATTATTAAATATCAGTTAGATTATTAAATATATTCAGAAAAGGTTGAGATTGGTTTTTCTTTTGTTACTGATCCACTCATAGTGAATGTTATGGAATAATGTACAGGAAAATATTTATAAGTTATTTTATGTAATTGTACTGCACCAACAAAACAGAACAAGTAGAATATTTTAAAATTATGTTACAGCATGTAAACAGGTCAACTTACAAAGAGAATACTTGAAAATCCATTTGCTAAGGGAGGTAAACATATCTCAACCTACTGAGTTAAATTTTCAAATCACTGTTTACCAAATCAGTATAAAAACATTTCCTTAGTGCAAGACTTACCAAGTGTGTAAAAAGATTCTGACTCCCTGAAAAAAACTGCCCCCCCCTAAAAATATAAGCAATATCTGTGTTACTCAAGTAGCTTATTAGTTCTTGCTAAGTTTGGAACATATCAATTTATACAAGCTTAGTGTCAAAACTGTAAAAACATTTTGTGAGAAATAACTTTAAAATATGATTCAAAGATGCAATAGTTGGAAGACAGAACAGAAATAAAAACAAAACTGAGCTGTACAAATGGAAAAAAGATTTGGATTTGATTCCTTTTCTCTGCACCATTGGAAGCATTCTTTAACGACAGTTTGGCACATTATGTATCCCCAAAAGCTATATTACACTGACAGGTGCAAAATTATTTTAGTTGTTGAAGAATCACAGTGTTAAGGATATCTGCTTCTTGTAGTGTCAGATTTTCATCGGTTAGCTCTTTATTTGGAAATGTAGTCACAAGAACAAAGTCAGCAGCTGCAAATGCAGGACGGGACTGAATAATAAAGTCTCGAACATCCATAATCCTGTTGAAATAATAGAATATGATATGATATAAACACTGAAAATTAGTAACGAATTAATTTCAACAAGAATCAGCTGCCGACACCAATAAAGGCAAAAATTTGAATACTGCAAACACAGTTTGCAGCTATATTTGATAATATTCTTTGATAATATAGTACAGCTATATTTGATAATATTCTTCAAATGATGAGGATTACAATCTAGAGCTCTTTGCTTTTTGAATAGGAGGACTGAAAAATAAGGGTGAACATATGGCTTGTCTTACCATATAAAGTTATTCACCTTGTAAAATAACCTTGAGCTGCGTTTCTCTCTGAGTGCTCTATGAGTCCTTGATTGGAGATTTTCAGCTACTGGTGTCTGTTTGGCCTGTGCGCTTGAACACTATGCCTGAAGAAGTGGGCTGTGCCCACGAAAGCTCATGATACCATCTACATGTTTTGTTAGTCTATAAAGTGCTCCCAGACCTTTTGTTGTTTTTTAAGTTTATCCTATATAGGTATGTGCAGGCAAACAGGCCTCAGTTACTTCTCTACCCAAATGTCCCTTAAGGAACAACCTGAAGCAGAGGGGAAGAAGGGAAGGTAATAGAGCACTCAGAGTAACACGTCTTGAAGACTACTGTAGTTATTGCACAAGAAGTGGTTACTCATCTTCTTTGAATAGGGAATCTATCAGTGCTCCACTTCAGAAGACTTCTGGGCACTATCCCCACATCAAGGAGTAAGCTTCATACAGGCTATGTCTACAGAGAAGATTGAAGCTGCTGCAGTCAATCTCTTCTGGGGTTCAAATTAGTGAGTCTAATGAAGACATGCTAATTCGAACTGAGAGGGTGCTCCTTTTTGCACCGTTAGTCCTGCTTCTACAAGGAGTAGGGGAAGTTGATGGGAGAGTGTGCTCCTGTTGACCTCTCACTGTGTGGACGGCACCAAAATTCAATTTAAGATAATTACGTAGCTGGAGTTGAAGTAACATAGCTGGAGTTGCACATCTTCATTCAAACTTATCCCCTAATACAAACCTAGCTAGAGTCCAGAATTGAAGATAATACTGCAGAACCTACTGATGCATCAGATCCAATGATATGGAGGCCACGAAGATTCATAAATGTGTGTACTAAAACCCATGCAGTGATCCTACATATCTCAGAAAATGGAACGTGCTTCAGTATTGCCGTAGATGTTGTCTGAGAGCTGGATGAATGTTCTATTCACTGGGAAGGGGAGGAGGGGAAGAGAGAAGGGACTGCATACTTGTGGAATCTCAAGTAAAAATGAGGTATTAATTTCAATAGTCTCTGAATAGAATTAGAGGCTCCCTGGATCTATCCATGATGGAGATGAAGAGCCAAGGTGACCTTTGAAATTGCCAAAGCTCTTCTGACATCCAGGGTATGGAAATACCTTATAGTTGAAGAACACATAAGGGGAGGGATCTGCCATTAAGGCCCCAATTTTCGCAAACCTATGGGCTGATATGACAACAACTAAGATGACTGTCTCCACAAATAAATCAGTGCAAAGTATCATTGTTTGAATGAGGTCTTATTAAGGTGATTGAGAACCAAGTTGAGGTCCCAGATGGGAGTAGGCTGACTCATGAGCAGGTAGAGCTTGCCAAATGTTGTAATGAATCTTGATGCCAGGTGAGAAAATACAAAGAATTCCAGAGGGGGATGAAATGTCCCTTAGTCATGTTGATGGAAAATTCCAGTTTCTTCAGATCCAGCAAGTAATCCAAGATGGATGGCAGTGGAACTCAATCAGGCCAGAGGGAGCAACCACCACAACAAAGAGAATATTTTTACTATTTCTGTAAGTAAGCTATGTCTTTCTGTTGTTTAGTACCACTTGTTATACTCCCACAGAGCAGAAACCCTCTAACCCCAAGAACCTTTAAGGAACCATGCTCTGAGATGTAGAACCATTAGGATGGGATAATTCATGCAACCTGAATTCTGAGATAGAAAGTGAGGAATGGTTGGAAACTTGAATGGCAGTCTGACTGATATGTGAATGAGGAATAGTTTACTAAGTTTACTAAGGCTATGTTGGCAAAAAGGTTGACTTGTGGCAGATCCCATCTCTGAAATATGCTGTGGAGAACTGGAGTGTCCAACTCCCATTCACGATCCCATGAGAAGCGTCTTCTGAGGGTATTGGGAGGTGGTGTTTTGAAGGCTTAGGAGACAGACCACTGAAATATGGATCTGTGCTATTGCTTCATGGTACCTGTCCACTTGCTGATGTAGAATATGTAGGGCATGTTGCCTGTTATCATCCTGATTGTTTTGCCCTTGATGAGGGCTAGAAAATGACTGCAACCATTCCTGGCAGTCTGAGCTCAGATTGACGTGTAGACTGATTTCCTGGGCTGTCCATCTGCCCTTAATTGTGAAGGAATCTAGATGGGCTCCTATTCTAACATGGGTGAATCATTTTTTAAAATTACTGAAAGGGTCGGGCAACTGAAAGGGATGTTCAAACGGACATTGATCTGTTCTTTCCACCAGCTTAGAAGAGTTTTAAGATACCTGTCCAGAGTATCCCTGACGGGAAGTAGGTTGATCTGAGCTAAACTTGGAAGCAGATTTACATGATTGATCACAAAGGTGCAAGCTCCCATGTATTCCAAGAATTGAAGACAGTTATTTATTGTGGTTCTAGGACTTCTTTGAATAGTTCAGTCCAAAGGAGGATAGGCTCTGGCTGTCAATGAATCCAAATACACATCTGTAAACAGTATCCTTGTATGGGTGTCAATGTAGATTTCTTTCGATTCACTGCAAGCCCAACTCCTGGAACAGAGCAAGGGCCATGCACATGCACTGCTTCCTAGGAGCATCTCTTCAGCAATCAGTTGTTGACATATAGAACGACTAGAGTAATTTCCCACTGAAGGTAAGATACCGCTACGGCAAATAATTTTGAGAAGAACCTCATGACAGTGATAGGCCAAAGTAGAGGCACACCTATGGGTGCGCCTAAGTGGGCTGTGGACTACCTACTTTGCATCCTGGTTCACCCAAATCACGGCCAGAGCTCCTTGAATCCACAGTCTGGGATTCCCAACCCAGGATTGGTTTCCATCAGGCGTGCTTCCTTGATGGGTAATGCCAGTTGGAGTGTGTTGCTGATTGCATGATATCTAGCAGTCTATGTTGCAAAACTTTGACCTCTTTGAGAAGAATCTGAAGTGTATCAGCTATCCTAATGAGGTCTAGAAACTGTCTGAAATTGTCACTATGAAAGGTGGTGGAAGCACAACAATCTCATCTGGAGAGAAAGATGAGATGGGATTTTCAGGCTTCATCTACCCTAACCTCCTGATTTTCAAATCTCTCTGGTGGTGGTACTGATTGGGGAGGAGAAGGTTGCACCACCCTACTCTTCCTAGGAACAGTACCAAGCTGTTGCTGATAGGCCACTCAAAATGTCCCACTACGGCAAATGTAATCCATATGGAAGTGAAAGCAGAATAGAAGGTTGGTTATACCACTCTTGGTGGCCAATGCAACCCTCTCTATGGCTAGCCAAAAAGAGATTCCTGAAGGGTCATGTTGTTGACTCATGACCGAGACAGGAGACTGACTGGAAGTCTCCCTCTTACTCTTCTATTGCATCCCATGGGGGAGGATGACAAGATGGGGCCGGGGGAGCAAGACACCCACTGAAAATGGTGCAGATTCCTACAGTGTCAGAGGACTGTAGTCCAAGAGACTGGAATCTTGCTACCAAAAGGCATGTAGAACCCATAAGAAGCATGGATTCTGGTCCATCAGATACCACAAAGTTTTTATAATACTGGAATTCTTGTGATATTGAGAAGGTATCCGGTACTGAAGTAGTAGCCGAGGTCATGGTCTCCAAAGCCAGTGGCACTGATGAATTGCACTCCAGGTGCATAGTGATAGCTGAATAAATTGCACTGGCATCAATGACAGAGTTAAGGGGAATAATGGCACTGCTGGCTGAGTCAGATCTATTAGTATTGACTGCTGGGCTTAACTTGACAGCACCCCACACCTGTTCTCCTTGAGGGTAAAGGATCCTGACACCCAGTCAGAGCCATATCTCCTTTCCTGGGTGCTTCAGTAGTTCACGCCCCACCAGTTCACTGTAAAGAAGGCTTTGGCCTCGGAGGCCAGAGATTTGGCAGGGGACATGATCTTTCTAGAGCTGGCTCCTTGGAACGAGAGTCTGCATTTCTCTTTATGGGAGTATTCCCAGAAACCTCCAAAGTCTTCCCCTTCCTAGGGAAAACTTGCCTCAAGGTAAAAGGCATGCTCTGGGTGTGCCAGGCATTCAGGAGGTTAGAGTGGACCACTTAGAGTGGACCAAGTTTACAAGAAAACCTCTCAGCAAGAAAGAAAGCATTAGAAGTCTGGTGAGATAGGCATGCCTTACCAGAAAAATGAGTCTCTCGGAGGAAGAAAAGGGGGAAGAGAACAAAACTATTCCCTCACAATCTATATCAGCGTTTCTTAAAGTGTGTTCCGCAGCACACCCAGTGTGCCGCAAGGCAGTCAGAGGTGTGCCGTGGAGAGAACAGAATTCAAAATGGCCGCCTTTAAAAGGACAAGCCTCCTTTTTTTCCCCCCACCCCTCAACTTTTCCCTGGGGACTTTGTTTTTTCCTCAACAAAAAAATCCTTGGTGTTCCCCATAAAAAAAAATTGTTTGATGTTTCTCGGTCTTAAAAAGTTTAAGAAACACTGATCTACAAACCATAGCTGCTACTAGCAGTAGTCATCCATCACTGACAACCACAACCATATTATTACAATTCTCATCTATGGCTATGCTTATGACTCTGAAGTCCAAACCCTGATGCACAAAGCTGGTCGAACAGACGGCACAGAAAGTCCATCGAAGATGTTTAACGATGCAGCTCTATGATGCATTTCACATGTAGCCTGGAAACAATTCTGTCAATCTCACTGAAATCATGGCATGCTAATCTTGTCGGACACCTCCTGTGAGTCCAGTTCTGAACTGTTTGAGTTCTTTGAGATTAATCCCAGCTCACACAGACTGTATTTTAAATTAGATTTGAAATGCTCATACCGATGAACCTTCTTTCTTTTGCCCTACCTCTACTCCCCATACAAGGTCTGTTTGGGAGGCAGTGGTCTTCCAGTCTGATGACATGTCCACAGTCCACCTACGTAGTGCTCTCAATATAATTTCCTCAGTGCTAGTTATTTTTTCTCTAATTATATTATCCTAATTATATTATCAACTACTAGACTAAGCACCTGTACACTAAGGAAAAACAGAATGGCTGAGGCAAAGGCAGATAAACTAAGGCACCATCTCAGGCCAAAGTGATTAAGAAGCAAAGGGCAGTTTGCCTGCATACCCCTGTATAACCACGGTGTTTGGCATGAGGCGGCATAGGGTGTATGTGAGAGACAAAGTCACTGCTAGCTGAAAAACTGCAATAAAGGGCTCCAAAGGCACATGAGAACTTGATGCAGAGCACCCACAGGGGCACATCATGGAGGATCGAGGCTGTGGCACAGAAGTTCACTGGATAAACACCTTTTATTTTTCAATGTAATTTACTCATTCAGCAGTTTGAGTACATGCATAAAATCAAATACACAACACGACAAAGCCAAACCAAATTATTGCCAGTTCCTTAATCAGCTTCAATTCCCAGTGATCAATACTGTCCCAACTCCACAAGTCCAAAAGAAAAGAAAACCAATACAATAGCACCTCTGTTGTGTAGCTAGGCACTGAAATTATGATGGTCCCTAAATCACAATGTCCAGGACCAGAACTCCCACTGCCCTGGTGCATAGTTCCAAAATAAACACCTTTAATAAATTCATGTAAACTTGACATTCACACAGTCTCTGATTATGGTAGGCCTGAGTGAGCCATGACCCCACTCAGGTCCACAGCCTTTCTGCACCCTGAAAAGTCAGCAGATTCTGGTTCTGACAGAAAAATGCTTATCGAGGGCAGGAATATGTTCCAAATCCAAAAAGTCTTCCATTGAATACCTTACCTACCATCCACAGTCTAAGAACTGTCAGCAAAAGTACTTCCGATGACATCATAAGCAGTGTCAGCACATAGAATAGTAGTCATTTGTCCGCCAGCCACAATGCAAGTGGGGCTGGAGAACAAAATTACTGTTGCAAAAAATAATTATCTTGTGCAATCTTTGGAGAGTTAGTGTAATAAGTCCTCTTCAACCAACAACTAAGCAGCACACAGCAACATTTTGCAGTAGTTGTAATTTCTCACAGATCATCTGCCACACATTGGCCAGTGAAGGGTGCTCTATATTGACATCATTAGTGCTTGGATAATTATGACAGCTATAAGAGAAAGGGACATTTTTGCCTAACAAAATATATGGAAACAAGTGCTCATGGCTATTAATACATGAGATTCCAGGGGCAGGTTGGGGTCCAGAATCCTCCTTCTACTTCTGGAAGGCAAAACTCCTTTGAAAGTGGGGAAACTCCCTCAATAATGGGGAAAAATGGCATGATGATCACACATTTTAAATTTTGGTCAGGAACATTCAATGCAGTGGTTTGTCACAAAATGCTGACTTACTAAAACTTTTTGTGAGAACACACTAGTTTCAACAAAACTCTTGTCAGGAAAGGTTTTCTGGGCTTAGGATGGAATTTCTGAGAGAAACAGACATATCCCTCGCCGCCCCAAAAGTCCTGTGGTGTAACTAAGCCCTGAATACTGCAGTGTGCTTTCTTAATTGTTGGTTGAAGAGGACTTATTACACTAAATCTCCAAAGGCTGCACAAGTATGTTATTTTTCTTCTGGGAGAATTTTGCAACATTAATTTTGTTCTCCAGTCCTATATACTTTGCATTTTGGCTGGTTTAAAGATGATTACTCATTTTTTATGTTGACACTGCTTAGGACAGGGCTACTCAACTTTGGAAGCCCTGGGGGCCACAGAACAGGCCAAGGGCCGCAACTTAAGCGCGGTTGCAAATATATGCAAATAGCTTCTTTGATACTGACAGGCATGAATACAAAGATTGATGCAAGATACACAACACGCAGGCCCCATTTAAGTCAGTTCTGCTGATATTACTAAAATGCAATATTTACCTGATTTTCACCCATATGACAGCACTTTTAATGAGCAATGACAATTCAGCAATTTAACTACTAAAACACATATCAACGGAAGCCCATTACAGCCTCTCCCTGAGTTACGAATGAGTTATGGACCAAATACTTGGCCATAACTCAATTTGTTCGTAACTCGGGCCTCACTGAGTTACATAGCGACTGCGCTGTTCGTAAGCGTGGGTCATGTTCGTAACTCGGGGACGGCCTTTAAGACTGCTCCATGGGAGCTTTGGTCATAAATGCGAACAGTCGTAACTCGACCATTTGTAACTCAGGGACAGGCTGTACAGGCAGTCCCCAAGTTACGCGGATCCAACTTACGTCGGATCCGCAGTTACGAACGGGACCTGTCTCCCTGGTCTCCAGCAGACCAGGGAGAGGAAGCAAAGCGGCGGAGCACGCGGGCAGTGGACAGCCCAGACACGTCTGGGCTGTCCGCTGCCCGTGTGCTCCTTGGCTTTGCTCTGCTTTGCTCCCCGTCTCCCTGGTCTGCAGACCAGGGGGACGGGGAGCAAAGCGGTGGAACACGCTGGCAGCGGACAGCCCAGATGCATCTGGGCTGTCCGCTGCCAGCGTGTTCCACCGCTTTGCTCCCCGTCCCCCTGGTCTGCAGACCAGGGAGACGGGGAGCCAAGCAGAGCAAAGCCAACG